ATTTTTCCAGATCAACTTTAAATTTTCGGAAAATTTTTTCGAATATATATTATACATGTATCAATAAATTTTTTTGAAATTCTCAAGCGGATATAATCCCTTAAAACGCTTAGAAAACCACGAGGCTATACAAAAAAATACGTATAGACACATTCGGAGGATTGAAATAAATTCTAAAAAAGTCATTTTGCTTTTTTTACTCATTTCTTTTTACTACAAAATGCTAATTTTTTTATAGCGTGACTTTTCTTTAATTCTTAGGTCGCTGATATTGAAGAAAAATTAGATGTACTTATTAAAGCTTATATGGAGGATCGTGAACGCTTCTTAGCACTTCCATTGTCTACACAGCCTGTAGTTAAACATTCCAATAACAACAATGAAGATCACTCGAAACGGGGCGATTGGGCAGCGGTCAATAATAAACCTAGTAATAGTAATAATACTAATAGTACACATGCGACAATCAGTGCTAGAAGAGATTTCTTTTCGGCGACGAAAATCGGGGTCAGGGATGACAATAAGGTAAGCAGCTAACGGTACAAGTTAAAACATAGATAAAATCATGATATATTAAAATTGTCTTGAATATTTAAGGAGTGGTTTTCTCAATGTCCGGTTAGCTACCATCTGTCAGCTAAGTTCTGGTTAACTCAAGCAAGTAACCTATCGGTAAACCAGACATTCAGAAAACGACACTAAATTTTCATTGTTTGTCAATAATCGAATCTGTATTTTGCAGGTTTCCGATGCGCGTGCGTTTGCGCCATCCTTCGATTTAGCGTCAGTTAGTCCTTTTAAACTATATAGTGATAATGCCATATCCGAAATAGAAAATCCCAAAAAACGTGTAACTCTAAGGTGAATAATTTACATAAAATATAAATGTTTACAGTTAAAGAATTGTACATATTCAATTACATGCAGATCCGCCTCCAATCCTTGTGATAGAGGAATTTATAAAGAAGATAATTTTGCTATAACGATACCTGGTCTAAATGAACCCTTAAGTAGTAGCCTAAAACCGAATTTACGAAAGGAAAACTCAAGTAAGCTGCGAATGACTTAGTCGATAAATAATATTTTAAGTTTATCATCTATCTATCTAAATCAAAACTATTATTCAACATTTTTTTATTAGTTATACTCATCGATGAGGTTGAAGACTTCGAAGAAGAGGATCTTAATTGCGAAGGCGAAATGGATCATTACCCCTCATGGGAGATTGATAGTGATGCCGGTGCTAATGTTGATCTCGACTGCGAAGTGGCGGCTGAAGATACCGCTCTGCTGCAACAAAGATCTCATACAAAAATTATTATTACTTCCGTTACGCCTGTAAATACTTATAAGCATTAACAATTATTATTTAAATACAATATATAATGCATTTCTTCTTATTGTATTTCAGGTAAGCTCAGCAAATAATCTGACAGATTTAGATAATGAATCCGCAGACACGCCTACAAAATCATCATTACTTTTCCCGCAATCTGGTTAAATAGTAGAACTTAAATTAATTTATTTTTTTCTTGTTTATTCCATTTGTGTTCAGATTTAAGTAAAAACAATTTTTTAACTAAAACAAAAGAAAATTTAGAAAAGTTAATAAATCAAATTTTAAAACTCATTTAAATAGGAAATTAAAACGAATAAAATTAAATAATTAAAGAAAATTTTGTTTTATTTATTTAGCTTAAATATTGATATGTCTGATGGATGTTTAAGAAAAAGCAAATTATTGAGTTTATTATACTGAAAATGTGTGTGACCTTTTTTATTATTATTGCTAGAAGTAAGGGGTACTTATTTTTTATGATTTTTTTCTTTTTTATGAAACAGTTAAAATTTACTTTTAAAGCCCAATTGTACATTCTAGTCTGACATTTCAAGAATATTCTATTAAACTTTCATGGAGGAAAATTTAAAAAACACAACAATGGCAGTATTAATCTAGACCGTCGCGGAAAAAGTTAAAATTTGAAGAGATTACCTATGTATATACTCGTATATCGTTAGATAGTCGCTTTGGTGTAGTTTTTCGAAATTTAAATTTTTCACTTTTTGGCAACAGTTTAAAGGGAAACATGCTAAAACTTTATTTTTTGACAGAGGGTAGACTTCTTCTTGCGAAAGATAACATAATTAGTTAAATTATACATTTATTAAGATTTAGAACTAAGCTTGAGTAAGTTATTCTATAATAGCCCTGACAGACGACAGCGCTAATATGCAATAGTGTGCTTAATTTACATTTACTTGCGCATTTGACTGATGTTAATTGCAACTTTTTAATGCACAAGAATTGCGTGCATTTAGCCGAATTTACCAAATTTGAGTAGGCAACACTGCTCAAAATGGCAATAATTGCTATTTTTTGGCAGATGTCAGCATCAGAATCAGCAGTTTATATTGCTAATTAAATTACGGGGCATCTCGACAGGATGAAATCTATGTCTTACTAACTGTATTGCCGTGCCCATTGCCTGTGGAGACTCCACATTGCTTAACAATGTTAACAAAAACAAATTTTAATATTTTTAGGTGGCAGAAAATAAACAACGCACAGTTTCTATCCATTTTTCGCATTACAATCAATTATTGCTTTTAATTTCACTCTATTATCTTTGATTAATAATAAACGAATTTTTTCGTTAAATTTATATTGATTTCCCAAAAATACCAAAATCTCTATTAATAATTTCTTTTATTCATTTTTATTTAATTTCTTTTTTTTTTTTAATAAATAATCAAATTTCACAATCAGCTGTCTAAATGCACAAAATGCAAGTCTGTCACCATAAAATATTAATGCACATTCATGTTGCTTAATGCGTATTCATTTTTCTCGTCTGTCAGGGCTCTAAGTTTCCCAAAGGCAACTAACAGATAGAATTATGAAAATATATTTTATAACTTCTACTAAGTTACGTAGGGAGACCAATTTTGATAACATGTGGAGACATCTGGTAAGTTTGTCTTTATGGTGCGGTGGTGACCATACTGTTTTCATTTGGAAAATTCGGATTAGTATGTTATTTTGCGGTAGGTGACAAAAGTGTATTTTGTTATAAGAGTTTGTTTGATATATAATATGTAAGTATTTGTTAAGTCGAGTTTCGAATTAAGAAAATTTTGGTATGTATCAGTTTAAGAAATCGTTTACTCGAATAAATGTTTTTATTAAGTTTGTATTGCCACTTTTTAATAATAAATATGAAAATACGCATTATGTATTTTCACCCAAAAAAAAAAAAACGTAACATACGTTTACAGGCGAAAGAAAAAACGATATAAAATGGAAGCTTAAAACAATGTTTCAATTTTGGATATGGTTGGATAAACTGACAGCAATGGCTTGAAAATCTTGTACATATGAATTATATGATATACTGAATTGTAATCAATAAAAAAAATATAGTGAATTTGCTGTAATTAAAGGAAAAACTGTTTCATTGATAAAAAAAAATGAGAATTATCTTCAAAAAGAGTATTTGAAAATGAACTAATAAATGAAGGGAAAATTAACATGAACTTGCAAAAGCAAATTAAAAGAGCGAACAATTTGAAAAAAATAATTGTAGTTATTTTAAGATTGATAAATAAATTAATCAAACTAATAGGGATATTAAAGAGTGAGAAAAGAGTAAAAGCTGAAATACCTAACCTTCAGTGCAATAATAGAGAATAGGTTACAGTTAATATAACTAGAAATTACAATAGTAGATTAAATAATTTTCAATGGATCGCTGTCCCAGCATACATAAAGTAATATGTACTCACTCATTTGTTTTTAGTGGTGATGTCATTGTTATACTTAATTGATATTCCTAATGTGGAAAATATGTAATACCTTTGTGGAAGGAGAGCAGTGGCCAACAGTCAGACACAATTCCGATTTCTTTGGCGCCGCGATCTGAAGGTACCGTTGAAAACAAGAAGTTCTCCTGATTAAAAAATATATAGGGTTATAGGTACCGCAAACGCTTAGTTTACGAGATATTCGACTTACATTTCAAAAGTTCGAAAAATTCGAACATTACAAGTAGCTAAGCTATTTAACACACTTTACTCACATTTTTCTCTTCTAATTAGTTAAATTAAACTTTAAACTTTTAAATAAATCCACATTTTACATTTAGCTGGGTTTTTACCTAAAAAATCTGAATTTAAAAATTACATTTTACACTCGTTTTAAACCCATTTGGTTACCAAAAATTACGACGAAATGGAGCGCTACCGGAAATTCCTCTTTTTCGCAAAAATTCCTGTATTCATGCATATGGATATTTTCTTTTTTGAA